CTCACCGTGCATTTGAAGCCGGAAGCTGAACAATTGGAGTGTTCGCGTGAGACAGTGACGTTCAACGTTCATCGTTCATTCATTCGTTCGTTAAATGAACTTTTCCACTCATAATAAAAGATAAACAAACGGAGAAACTTCATTGGCAGTGTAAAAAAAAAGTAATTAGAGAAAAGATGGAAAATAGTGGAAGATTAGTGAAGAGATGATGAATGAGAATAAAAAGGCAATTGTGTTGGATGTGGCCGAGATGATTACAAATAAATGAGGATGTGCTGATGATGATGAAAGCGGCAATGATGATGATGATGGAGTGATGATGATTATGATGATGATGATGATGATGATGACGATGTAGTGATGATGATGACGATGTAGTGATGATGATGATGATAATGATGATGATAATGATGATGACGATGGAGTGATGGTGATGATGATGGAGTGATGATTATGATATTGGTGATGACGTTTCCAAGATAGTTGAGCCACGCAGAAGTTTAATTTTTTCTCATTGAAGTGTTTCAAGCTGGTTCTCAGCAGGAAGCAGTGGGATAAATTCTCTTTAATTTGCTGAGCGTGTCTTCAATTTGTCGGTCACGTGCTACAACTTGTACGTGTCCTCTGGTAATTTGCTGGTTGGCTGGTTTGTTTGTCTGTTCGTTTGTTTGTTTGTCTGTTTGTTTGTTTCTGTTTGTCTGTCTTTGTTTGTTTGTTTGCTTTTTCCAGTTTGTTTGAATGATTGTTTGTTTGTTCGTAGTTCGTTCGTTCGTTTGTTTATTATTTTGTTTGCTTATATTACAACAGTATCGACATCAGAAACAGCAGCAACAACAACAACTTTAACAACAAACAGCTTCAACAACAACTATAACAACAACCATAACAATAGCAACAACAATTACAACGACAGCAGCAGCAGCAGCAAGCGTGGCCACAACATCCACCACCAACACATCCTTCAGCACGCTACGAGCAGATGTTGTTCACCCGATATCATTCGTTTCTTCGCACAGAAAACAAACTCGACATATAAAAACAAATAAAAAACAAAATTTTTATTTTTTTCTCTAAATAGAAATTTATGAATCGCATGAAGTGCAGCTGAGGCTAAAAATACCATTTGAAGCTGTAAGCTCCACCCACAGGGCAAAAATTTTGAAAGTTCAACAAATACGCACGCTCACAATGTTTGAGGACTATTTATGAAATAATTATTTGCATGAATGTGTTAACG